GGGAGAGGGAGAAAGGGGTCCCAGAATGCTTCCAAACCCAAGTTTAAGGGTGAAATTGAGGCTAACGCCTCCATCAACCACCTTCCGCATGCAGCCTCCAGGCATAAAATATCACCATCTCCATGAAAACATCTCCTCTTCTCTCTCCCCAGAAACAAGTAGTATTCTGTGTTCTGCCCTCTGGGGGTGAGAGAGTAAAGAGCCCAGAGATCTCAACACACAGGACTGGAATGCCTGGTCTGGGACAGAGTTACAGGCACCAACCTTTTCCCAGGTGTGAGTCTTAAAAAGAATTGCGAATTGCAGAGCTAACACTGAGCAGACATCACCAAAGCCGATATGGCCTTAATTAATGCTGATGTCTGGTACATTCAGTATTCTGTAAAGTTCACTTTTATTAGTATCTGAGAATGGCCACACAGGCTGATAAAATCAGAAGGCAACTGTGACTTGGGCCACATGACAGGCTAACACAGAAGGGAAACCCAGCAGCTCTGACCACAATGTGTGGGCCGTCTATTTATGCTAAAACAGGTGCACGCTGTCTCTCTCCAACTTAAAGGATCTCCTTCAGCTCAGCTCACCTCCTCATCCACACCTCTCCCCAGACGCCCACCCCTCACGGGCCACCCCCAGCAAAGGCTGCCTGTGCTTGTGCTGCAAGGAAGGTCCCGTCTGCGCTGACCGCTCCGCTGGAGGGAGCAGGCTGCCATCACCACTGCCCAGCTCTGGTCCACGCTCTCACGTCACGGCTTGTGTCAGAGACCCTCGCAGCCCCGGGCTCTCCTGCCCCTCCTGGTTCTCACCTCTTTCACGTGCGTGTGAAAGGACACTGACATGTCCAGTAGGATCTTCCGTTGCTCAACACGCCGAACAAAGTCCTGGATCCGGTCTTCGAGCTGATGGGCGGCCTGATAAATCTCTTCGGGGTCACATTCCCCCGTCTGCGCCAGCTGCTCCGCGGCCTCTAGCAACTTGTCCGCATTGGTGTATGTGTTCTGCACGAGAGAACAGCCAGAGAAACACACGGTGAACAACACACCCCGGCCAGGCCGGGGCCACGGCACTGCACTCAGTCTGCGCTGCTCCTGATCATTTCCGCGAATCAAACAGAAATGCGACGGAAGAGCTGACTTCAGTTACTACACCCCTATCAGCAGCCTCGTCCAGTCCTATCTCAGACAGTCAAACCTCGAACCTCATGACCGGCCCTTCCGTGTCCGGCGGCGAGAGGTATCTGCAGGCCATCGCCGGCCGTCCTGACTCATCCGGGGCTCTGAGCCCCTGCACCTGCACAGCCGGAGACGGCGTGGAGCCGCAAGGCCCGCTTCACTTCTCTCGTGCTGTGACGGAGGACAGTTCCAGTTTTGTGCCTTTCACTATGAGCACGCATGATCATTCCAAGTGCAAGTGACAGGTTAATTCCACAAGAACGTAAGTAAGTCGCTGCCCCTTTTCACATGTTTCTACTTACTGGCACATTTTCTCAGAAAAAGGAAGTAATAACTATAATGGCTACAAAATAGCCAGAGTTTAAAAGAGTTGGAAGATAAGGGAAACGGGTGTCAAAAATACTCTGAAGCAGAGGTTGCAGATGGGTTCCTCAAACAAGCAGGTAGGCCAGAGCCCGAGACTGTTAACTATCGGTGAGAGGGGACTGGGAGAGGTCGGGGCAGGTGCAGGACTTCCGAGAAGTCCCGGGAACCTTGTGTCTCCCCTTGAAAAATGGGTTGAGCCCTAGGTTGTTTAGCTCAGTGGATAGAGCGTCAGCCTGTGAACTGAAAGGTCCCGGGTTCGATTCCAGTCAAGGGCACATGCCTGGGTTGCAGGCTCAATCCCCAGTAGGGGGCGTGCAGGAGGCAGCCAATCAATGATTCTCTCTCTCTTTCTCCCTTCCTCTCTGTAATCAATAAAAATAAAAATATTTTAAAAAATAAAAGACAAAGAAAAACGGTTTGAGGCCTTCACCGTTCTCCTCCAATATTTTAGTTCTCCAGCCGAGCAAGGTCAGGACTCGTCAGTGAGTGTGGGGAGGGTGTCCCTGTGGGAGTCCAAGCCTGATGGGGCAAGGGCACCCCTGCACCCCCGCTGCTGACGGCCAGGGGCACTAATCTTCCGAGGATGATGAGAGGCAGGTTCCTCACTGTGGGGAACGGAGTTACAAATACAGGAAAGGGGGAAAGCTGAGTTAACTGCACGGCACCGGAGAACTGGAGGAACCGCTGTGAACGAGGAGGAGAGACGGCAGGGTCCCAGGTGGAGTGGATACGCTACAAGATGGCCCTGAGACATTTTACGGGGCCAAGAGTATGGAAACCCCAAGAACAGTGTGGACAGGACACAGGAGCTGGCCTGAGGAGGTTCCGCTGGCCAGTCAGGGTGACGAGGTGAGCAGAAACATAGCCGATGCAGTGCACTGAATGCGAGGAAGCTGTGAGGCCACTCTGACATAAATAAAACTGGATGAGGACCAGGAGTCTACAGAACGTCAGAGCACCTCCCACAAAGTGCGTACTGACGACCAAGGGGGAAGGACTCGCCGTCCAGTGGAGACGGCAGGCAGACGCACACCGTACCCAGGGGTCAGAGTGAACCAGGTGCACCGGACAAGTTAGAATCGTGTGCCCCCGGCGGGTGGGGCCCAGCTGCACTCCGTGATGCCCCCGACAAAGATACACAGTAGCCAGAATCTAACCACCAGGAAACATCGGACAAACCCAAAGCGAGACGCAGTCTCCAAAGTAACGGCTTGAAACCTCCCAAAGGGTCAGGTCGCAAGGTCAAGGGAGAATGAAGACCCTCCAGGCCCAAGGACCTCAGCGACGTGACAACTGAAGGTCTACACGGATCCCTTCAGCTGTGACAGCCTCGTGGGCTGCGAGGGCTGGAAGGTCATCAGGCATCAGTGTTAACGTCCTGACTTTGATGGTGGAATGGCGGTTGTCCAGCAGAATTTAAACAGGAAGCACAGAGTGCGTTCTTTATGCTGTACTGCCTGCAAGGTGAAAAATTTTAAACGGATGCAATACACAGCACGACAGGTGTGAGGTGGCCTCCACAGGGACACTGACCCACACATACAGAGCAAGTGCCCCCAGTGCACCGGGGGGAGGGGGGGGCAGTCATCCTTGTGTGGGCAGCATGGGGATGCGGTGCCGACAGAGTCTACAGCAGTGGTTCTCAACCTTGGCTGCACATTAGAATCACCTGGGAATCTTTTTAAAATCCTGATTTCCGGGCCTCATCCTCCGGAAATTCTGTTTCTTTGTTATGGGGTGAGGCCACAACATTAGTAACAAAGAAACAGAATTTCCGGAGGATGAGGCCCAGAAATCAGGATTTTAAAAAGATTCCCAGGTGATTCTAATGTGCAGCCAAGGTTGAGAACCACCGTCTTATAAGAACTCTTGTGATTATATTGGTCCCACCTGGATAATCCAGGATACTCTCCCCATCTGAAGATCCTCAACTTAACTACACCTGCAAAGCCTCTTTTGCCACATCCTATGTAATCCTATATAATAAAAGGCTAATATGCAAATTGTCCCC